CTACGGGAGGGTGGGGTGCCTAGCATATCATATGGGGGCGGAAAAACGCGTGATCTACCGCATGTGCCTTAGTCACTGTGTTTTCTTAGAGAGAGGTGATGCTCTTGATTTGTGAACGTACCTGGACTCCTAGGGAGCTTTTAAACTGCGCCTTCTCTTGTCCCCCTCATGGACTTCGGACTAATGGATACGATTTATTTTTCATGTTGTCATTGGCGCACAAGTCCATGGTCTCGTGTGGTATTTCCTCTCTGTGGACCAGAGCTCCTTAAGGTTGGCAACGGGGGTTTTCAGACTGTGCCCTGTGGAGCCCCAAGATTCAAACCATTGAACCAGCTGGCCTTGGGCTTGGCTGCACGGCTCTCCGGACTCCGGCCCCTCCCAGTCCCCAGACATGGCCAAGAGGGTTCTCGGGGCGGGGGAGGTCTACGTGGCTGTAGCGTCCCTGTCCCCTGTCAGGATCCTTCCCCCCGAAGCCAAGGGTCCTCGGATGTCACAGAAATCAGAGTGGCTTCTTCTCAGAGCAGAGGACGGACCCTCCTCTGAGGGACCTTTATTTGATTGTCTTGACCTTTTCAGACTAAAGACTTCTTTTTTATCTGACCGTGTGTGACAGCCCCCCTCCGCCCCACACCTCCCACGCATTTGGTCATTTCGCTTATTTGGCCTCAGATGTATTCTCTCCCTGGAAATGCCTAGACCTTGATCAACGTTGTTCCTTAACTCTTACGACAGTACATTTTCCTATGTCACTCATGAGGACATCTGCAATTGCTTTAATGGTGAGTGCTGCTAGCACCTTTTTCTTGCGTCCCTCCTCTGATCAACCCGTCAGGTGTAGAGTGACCCAGAAGCCCCGCGCGCTCGCCCTGCGTCGTGATTCTCAGGAATGTGAATCGCTCGTCTCACTCTGCAGTGTGGAACCTCGTGCAGCCCCTGCTCGCCCCTTGAAATAACAGTATAATGTGTTAATAATGAAGAGGGCAGGACTGCGTTCCTGTAATTCTATATAGCACCAATAAAATGAAATGTTGCGTACGCATTTATATTTAATTACGCGTGACCTAGTAAAAGGGCAGCCTGTGTGATGCACATACAAAAACACCTGCCCAGTGGACTCTGATCCCCCCTGAGGCTGTTGGTGACATGTGTACCAGCGGTCCTACTCTGCGTTCTCCAAGGTTTGGGGAAGTATTCTTAATCTTCAGCAGAGACTGCTGTAGAGCTTGGTTGGCTTCCCAAGTAAACTCATTTAAGCTCAAGATTTCAGTGTGTCATACCTGACCTCTAGTGTCACCAGTCATTTAAGTAGTTTAAATTTGTCAAGTAAACAGTATTATTTTAATTGAAGCTAAAAGATTTCAAGAATCTCAGACTTGACATGAAACTGAGTGAAAGCAAAATTAACTTGAGCTGAATGTGTTGATAGAATAATAAATCTAACACTGAGTATTTACCCTGTTCTAAGATCTCCTAATACACTTCACGTCATTTATCTTCAGAACAAACCTACGCAGTTAGTTATATTGCCCCATTTTACAGAAATAAGAACCAAAGGCCGTGTCACCGAGCTTGGGGTTCGAACCCAAGCGTCCTGACGCCAGAGCCCACACTGGCCACTGTACTCTAGGATTCATAATATTTTCTCCAGTTTAAAAACCTTTAATTTTTTTTGTCTAGGTGATACACTCCTGGCCATTCAGGCCCCTTCGGGAACACAGCTGGAGGTGCCTATCCCGGAAATGGTATGTGCGATGACTTGTTAAGTGGGTCTGCTGTTTCAGGAGGGACCATGTATTTCCTGTAGCTGAAATGGGCTAATTGTATGGAAACACTTTCAAGGTGTCCATTTGAGAGTATCGTTACTGAAATTGTGTCTTCAGTACTTTGGTAAAATTGCAGATGTAACTGAATGAATCATTTAACATTTTACTTTTTAAATTTGATTTTATTTGAGCTAGAGGATATCAAATGTTTTTTTGGAATATTTAGTTCATTTTTATTTTGGGTAAGTTATCAAAATGGTTGATGTAGTCAATAATCTTAAAAAAATCACTTTGACTATAACTGATAGAACTGTCCTGACTGATGAAAAAGTTCAACTTAAATATCAACAATATCTTGCTTTAAATTAGATCTTTTTAAAAACATGGCTTATTGAGTCAAACATATTTATTGCCTCTGTGCCGTATGTGTGTGTGTGTGTTTATATCTATATATAGAGAGATATATATTTTTTTAATTTCATGATTGTAGTTTTCAAATTCAGAGTTCCTAAAACTGATTTGAAAGCTATATCAACCAAAAAGGGGGTAGAAAAGGATGACTGTTGTCAAGTTCCTCCTGCGCCGAGCTGTTCTAGAAGTCTGTATTTAGGCATCTATGTGATGGGCTCTGACGCCTTAGGGGTCACAGAAGTTTGTGAAACGCAGGGACTTGACCCTGGTGGCTCTGTAGGGAAAGGAGTTGTCTTTGTGCCGCCTGAACGGGATAGAGGAGTTTAGACTTGTGAAACGGTTGCCGTGTGAGACGGCGTGTTGGGATGACCACACCCACGCCCGGACGCGTCCACGCAGGGGGAGAGAGTATGGGGCGCCCACATGTCCGGTTGCCTTAAAAGTGGAAGGTTGCTAGGGCTCTAGTGCTGAGTCTTTGATGATCCGTATTTGAGAAGAGCTTACTGTTAGCGGCGAGTGGCTTAGAGCCCTCCCTATCCCGTACTGCTCTTAGCCGCTACTCTTCTGTGTTCACGTAATGCCTGTCTTTCCTGTGGATTTAGTTAGTCCCGAGTAGCTTTGCCTTATGTTTAACATTACTTCTGTTCATCTGCTTATTATACCCAATAACTGCAAAGGGTCAGAATGGACAAAAGAAATACCAGATCAATCTAAAGAGTCACTCGGGACCCATCCACGTGCTGCTCATCAATAAAGAGCCCAGCTCGGCGAAGCCCGTGGTTTTCCCTGTGCCCCCGCCTGACGACCTCACACAGCCTCCCTGCCAGCCCGCGACCCCGGCGGCTCCGCAGAAGGCCGGCGCAGCGCCCCCGAGCCTGCCCGAGCAGCTGGCCCCGGAGAGAAGCCCAGGCCTGCAGCAGACGGCCTGCCCGGACCTGCCTGCAGGTGGGTCCACCGCCTGCGCGGTGCAGAGCGCGGGGGCACGCGTGACCGCTGCAGGGCCCGAGCTGCAGGGCTTGTCGCATTTGCCGTTGTGGCGGGACTTGCTTATCTGATACGGGAGGCGCCTGTTGAGCGGAGTCTAGTGAACACTGTGCATTTAGCGTCTGCGTGCCCAGCCCTGGGACAGGTGTGATAAGGCACATCTAAACACAGCTCCTGGCTTCTTTATTGTTATGCAGTATTTGATTGTAATTATATATCTAAGTATTTTTATTACTGCAGATTTGTTTCTTAAGGTACGTATTTTTCACGCGCACACACACCCTGACTGTATATTCAGGAACATACCGGGGGTGGGGGGCAGAATGTGTGGTTAAGACCGTGGGTGGAAGCCGCGCAGGGGGACGGGGTTCAGGGGGCCGTGGGCCGTTTTCCCTGGGGCTCCATTTTCAGAAGTTAGTCCCATGTCCTTTGCCTGCCGCCCGCCCCTGCCCCCTTCCCGGTTGCTATTTGCACGGCAGCGTGTTATGTAGGTGTATTTGGAAGGACTCCTGAGACAGCCACACAGTGCCGCCTGCCGCCCCTCCCCGGTCTCCACCGCTGCGTTTTATCTGAAAGCCTCGTTGTACAGGGTCGATCAAGTCCCGGCTCCTTTTTAGGGAGCCTTGCCTCCCTGCACGGCTCCCCTGTGGGTGACAATAGCTCAAACTCTAAAAACGACGGCGGCGTTAGGGCCCCTCCTGGGTGTATGAACGTCGTTGCACCGCCTTTCCCGCCCGTCACACTGGGTCCCTGGCGAGCCCTCCCCGGTGCCAGAGCAGGGCTTGTGCGGGATGTCCCGTCCCCTGTGTCTCCTGTGTCCCCCGCCTTCCCCGGGGACTGCTCAGTGGTGACAGTCACGCCCTCCCGGGCGTCATGCTGCAGCTCCGTTTCCGCTCTGGGAGCCCACGGTGGTGGAGCGAGGCCGTGAAGGTCTGGCCGCGCGTGGAGTGTGCTTCCGCCTCCGCGTCATCCTGGGGGCCCTGGGGACGCGCAAGCGAGCGTGGGTCGTCTGGGGTAGACGGCCCGGCCTAACGCAGCATGTCGGCCCCGCTGAGCATCTGCATGCGGTTTCCTATTTGGAAGAAGTGAGGGAGGGATGTGGGGCCACATTAGCGAGGCCTTGGCTGTCAGGCCGACGTGGGGCTCAGCTGACACCAGGGCGGGTTTGTGGCCGGGCAGGGACACTAACGCGCCGCACGACGGGCGAGGTGCCCGGGAGCAGGAGGCCGCGGAGGCTGACGGCTGGACGTCTGCGGTCTGCGCCTCCGAGAGAACAGTAAGGCTGAGACGGGGTGATGACAGTGGGGTTAGAGAAATAACTAAACGAGTGACGTCTGCTGTGTGAGACGTGGGGGTGAAGTTACCAGGAGTGGAACGTGGGGTTGACGTTTCAAGGTTGCGGACTGGGAGAACTGTGGTCCCACAGACGTTAAAACCAGGGGCCGAGATGAGTGCTTTGGTCTGCACGTTGAGGTTGGAGGTTTAAAAGTAACGCCTGGCACAGAGCAGGTGCTCATGAAAACGGCCTCCCAGAAGTCCTAGTGCCTTAACTTTGTACTGTTAGCCAAGCTGATGTTTAATATGTACTGTGCCTTTTATTGCTAAAATCTATAAACAGAAGGGTAACAAAACTTTCTCCCATTTGTGTGTCCAGCAGCATCCATTAGTGGAGACATCATCGATGAGTTAATGTCGTCTGATGGTGAGTAGTTTAAAATTTCACTAACTGCCTTCACTGCACATCAGTAATGCTTCTCTAGAATTTGTAAGCGGCACGATTGAAAAGACTGAAGAAGCTATATGTTTTAACTGCTTAATGTACTATGACAATGCTTTAAAAATCTTTAATAACTGCAGTAAATCATAGTCCTCCTCTGGCATCTTATTGTGCCTGCATCTCGGGGGAGAAGACCCCATATGGGGGCAGTTACCCCTGCACTCAATAAACTTCTGAGCTTTGGCACACTAGCCCTTTTCACTCCTGAAGAATTGGGTGAAGAAGGGTAAAATAATACATAGAAGTCAACAGCAGGTAATCCGAAAACCCAGCTCTGTAACTTATCCCCACGGCCAATTTCCAGCTGCCAAGTTGAAGTCACTGAACTGTTGCTGACATTGACCGTGTCGTCATCTAACCTGAACTATGGCTACAATACTGCAACTACTTTACAGTAACTTCCTCGGCTTCACCTTCTGTGAGTTCTCAGGCTCTGAGTCCTGGCCCCTGATATGGCCGAGACCCATAGTGGCAGCTGTTAAATTAGCAAAGGGTACGATAACCACTTGGATTTGTGAAGTAGCAGACACCAGCAACAAATTTATCAACCTGTGTCTAATTTCCACTCTTTGCATAGTGGCTTATAAAGCAGATCAGAGAAAGTACTTTGACCCATGTTTTTGAATCATATTTCAATAGTGACAAGGTCAGCCAATAAAACTTTTAACCTCCTATTTATCAAGCTAATACCTATAATCAATAATGAATGCATAAATGGCCTTTTAAACAAGTCTTTCAAAATATACCCTAAACACAAGTCATTAATTTGATCATTACACTTCCCATTGTGTATTTTTTCATTCTTGTATAACAGGCAGCAGGATGTTAACTGGACGGAGTATCTGAGGGTGTTTTATATTAAACAGCGTTGCGCTTGTGGAGAAGCCATCGCTAACACCGAACTTGTGTTTTGCTTGCAGTGTTTCCTCTCTTACGGCTTTCTCCTACCCCAGCAGACGACTACAACTTTAATTTAGATGATAATGAAGGCGTTTGTGATCTCTTTGATGTCCAGATACTAAATTATTAGACTCCATGGAGACCCGGGACTGTTATCTACCTCTAACTGTGTAACATTTTAGACTTTTAATAACCTAAGTATTTAAAATAATGAATGTAACACCTTTTTAGTTCACTGATTCTGAAGTGTTCTTCCCTAATACTTTCTTTTTTTACTTCACAAAACTTCAACTGTAAAAACAAAGGGGAAAAATTGATTTAGTACCCCCCCCCCCCCCCCCCCGTAACTGCATTCTGGATTTCTTTCCACGTCTGAATCCTTGTGATTCTTCCTCTCAAGAGGAAAGTTAAAGTAGACTTAAGGTCGTCGAAAACAAGGCCGCTGGCCAAGGACTCTGCCTGTTTGTCTCGTGTTTTCACTGCCGCGGAGCTGTGCGCCCCCAGCATGAGCCCGCTCACTGCCACAGACGAAGGGTGTGAACAGGACTGTCCCCCTTCGGGGAACAGTGTGTGAAGTGCCTTCTGTTTCGCACTTTAACTTGATCACGTTTGGTTGACTTCTGACATTCCGCTTTCCTAGGTTATGGGAAAGATCTGTTTATGTAGTTCGTTTTTAAAATGTGCCAATGCCTGTACATTAACAAGATTTTTAAAAATAAAGTTGTATAAAACATTTTATTTATTTGTCTTTTGGGGGACTTGACACCTCACCAGCGTATTACAACTGAGCCATTAACTTTGTGGCCTCGTCCACATTAACTGCTTCGTTTTCATGACACTGCTGAGGAATCTGGAGGGAGAAAAGTACGAGACGGCATTTTGAAATTCAAATAACAATAGTGAACAACAATGACAAAGGTGAGCCATTGCCCAATTTAATTTCTAGTCAGCCCTTTTCAGCTAGAACGTTAAATTCTCCTTTTAGACTCCATGTTGCAGAGTCTGAACATGACCGAACTTACTGTACACACAGCACAGCCCCACGTACAGCAGACAGCCAAGCACTAAAATTATATTCAACTCACAGGCTTTGAAAATGTGGAGTTTAATTCATCAGCCATAACAAAAAGCAATGATTTCTACTCACCAGCGGTTTCTGCACAGGCTCAAGGGAGAGGCCTTTGGAGAAGTGGGTGAGCACCTTTTGGATATCGACAAAGGCTTTATTCATTCTATTAACTTTGTCATCATTCACAATGTTGATCTTTAAAAAAAGAAAGCAGTCATTTGTGATTGCATCGCTACTATGGATAAAAAATACATTCAACCTTAATGGAACCTTATTAAACCTAGAAATCTAAAAAAAGTAACTACCAATTTGTGGGGATGATTTACAGAAACTCTTAGTCTTATTGGGGCATTTGAGACGAGAAGTTCTAGTTTCTTATAAATAAGAATCATGTGGACACGCCCCATACGCTGACTTGACCGGTATGAGCAGGCGGAAGTGTGCATCATCTCACCTGAGACGAGCAACCTGCATCAGATGCCTTTAAGGTCCCGCTAACAGTACCTCTCTGAGCCTGTCCTCGACCTTGCCTTGATGGCAGCCCCTGGCAACCTCGGGACAGCGCCCCCGCAACCCCCTCTAGCATCTAAGCTGTGGGCGGTGGTCCTGTTCCTCGCTGCTGCTCCCAAACCACATTTCCCTCAAAACTGTCCCCGCGCACTCCTGACCAGGACGTTCGGACAGCCCTTTCCTCATCGCAGTCACCTGCCAACACTGTGACTACCTGCTCCTTTATGAAAGACCTCAAACCTCAGCTCGCTGACCCCTCTCATGCCTAACGTCACTGTTCAGTGGCTTCAACAAAAGTCTAACGCTGCGGCCTCGGACGGCTTCAGGTCCTCTGCAGGACCTCACTCCCTCCCTCCGCCGTCCCTGCCTGGACCTCGGCGGCCTCCGCACCGGCTCTGCCTGGCACAGGCTGCTCCCAGCGCGTCCCAGCTCCACACTGCTAGCCCCTCGCCATTCAGTGCCAGCTTTGGAGACGGCTCCGCGTAAAACTGTTCCCCCCCACACCCCCATCGTGCCACCCAGTTTTATTTCCTTTATAGCTTTTCCAAAGTCATAAAACTGCTCGATCAAAAAGCTTAACTCAGGTAGGTGACAAAAACTGAAAAATAAAATATTTTTCTATAGGCGAGTATGATAACTACTAAGTCCTGGGGAGCTGACCCCACCTACTACATAAACTTAAAAATGTTTCCTTGCAGAATTGACTTCATCTTGATGAAGTTTCCCAAATATTTTGAAGTAAGAACAAAGAACATAAACTCCTTTTCCAATTTTGCATTTAAGAAACAACATATTTTATCTTCATTTTACAGGTTTTTGTTTGCGTTCCATATTTTCAAAGAAATAAGAATTACTGAGGAGGAAAATGGGTGCTGACTGACATCCGTGTCGGCTCTGTTGAGAGGTTCTTGAATATATTTGAGTTCAGAGATAAGAGCTGGTTCTCGCTCCATGCTCTTTATGATGTCTATGTTCTCATAAACCTATAAAACTGTTACATGGCGCCTCACACATTTGCGGTTCATTTTCTTTTTGTACATTTGGATCAAGAAAGGGACGTTCCTTTCCTCCATTTTTTTAATCAAGTGTTTAAACATCCTCTTGCCTTCAGAGAAAAGGCTAAGACCCTGTTTTAAATAATAGCATTCAGTTTTCCCAGCAGCCCCACCATTGTGCTCTGCTTGTAAAATGCAAAGTCTGAGTGCTTACTGGTAATACTCACCTTCTTCAGGTTAGTGGTAACTGGCTTGGCTTTACTTTTAACCTTGAAGTGTTTTTGGCTGGCTATGTGAAATACGTTCCTGGGCTTGGGCCCACGCCGTTTGTTCTTGGCCATGGCCTAGGAAAGAAAGAAAAGGAGCTAAGGGAAGCTGCCCAGGCGTATGAGCTGTACATCAATTTACGTTTTTAGAATAAAGGTACCAACTGAAGCTAAGCAGTTCTGTCTTACTGCTGATGGTTCTTAAAGTGGCTGCGGGTATGGACTTCTCCCCATGTCTGTGCCCCTCCTGGGCTTTCTGCTGTGAAGAGGGCAGAGTAGGTCTGCAACTCTAATGCATGGCCAGCACCTGACAACGGAAACATCGCCGTCTGTCCTAGTTCAGTGCCACTGTGCCATTCTGTCCCTGTCACACACTAGGGCTGGCTCCTCGGCCTCCTGCCTCTTTCATTCCTTTTCTACTCGTCCCCCTTTCCTCCACATCAGTCCTCACTCCTGCACTTCCTACCTCCCCCCTCCCGTAAGTTACCGTCACGACCTTCCAACCAGCTCTGTGCATAGCTCTTGCTTGAACCTGTCCTATAGCCAAAGGCGCGCTCGCTTAGCCTGTAAGCTGCACCTTGGACACAGCTCTCAAATCTGTCTTGAACAATGCCCGTGAAAGCCAATTTTTAAAACATGAATAGGACCTATTGAGCTTTTACTATGTGTACAAGCTCTGTGCGAACAGTCTATGTGCTTCAACAAATTGACTCTCACAACAACACTTTGTGGGGAGGTCCTGTTTCCTCCCCATTTTACAGATTAAAAAAAAAACTGATACAAAGGGAAGGTGATGTGCCCACTGTCACACTTGGTAATCACAGAAGGGCGGGGCTCAAAGCCAGGCGGACGAGACCCAGAGCCCGACCTCGTGATGTGACGCGGCATCTCATGTATAAATAAAGATGCAGCACCGACACGATGCAGTGCCGCCTCGTTCAGGATCCAGTTCCAGTCCCCAGGGCGGCGTGGTTAGCTCCCGGGTCAGGTGACCGTCCCCCGGCCTTTGTAAATCAAGTTTTATTAGAACACGGCTGTGTCCCTTTGACTGCGAACTGCCTGGGGGCTTCCCTGCTGCCACTTCGGCCATCAAAGCCTGCGTGACCGTCGCCGTCGAGTCCTTTACAGAAAGGCGGCTTCCCCGGCTCGCGCCACCGGCGTCTCGGCCGGTCCCGCGCCGCGCTGCGTCATCCCTGCGGCGCTGGCGCGACACAGAAGCACCACGCCTGGCCCTGGGGTGCTGCTGGAACCCCCGATCTCGCGTCGGTCCGCCAGACGTGTCTCCTGGGACCCCTGCACCCACCCGGCCGGGGCGATGGCGCTCGGAAGACACCCTGCACGCTCTTCCTCTCGTCCCTGTGCTCACATGGCGTCTCTGGACCGAAATGACATCCTCAACGTTTAGCCTCTGGCAGCCGCTTAACGGACGGCAGCGCTTTTCTCCAACCACCACGTGGAAACGGATGAAAACACACTTGACTAAAAACGGGTCCCCTGCCGGGGGCTGAGGCCCACAGGCCGGCCGGCCTGCCCCCGAAGAGGGCGACGGACCCCAGCCCCCGGGCTGCTGCGGCGCGAGGCCCGCCCGTCCTGCCCCGGCCCCGAAACGTGCTGCCAGGCCGCGGGGAACGCTCCCACTCACCTCTCGCCAGACCTAGGCTACCACCACTCGTACAGCCGCCGCAGCTCCAGGAGACGCCACCAGCACGCGCAGGATCCAGGAAGTTCCGGGGTAGGCAGCCAATGAAACCGCCTCTCCCAGGCCGTGGTTCCGCCCACCGAGCGGAGCCCCGCCCACCGAGCGTAATGAACGTAGCAGGTTTCCGCCCCCTAATATAGTCCCGCCCACAGGACCCACTCCTAGCAGAGAACCGCTTCCGAATCACAGCGACGCCCCGCCCGCAGAGTTAAGCTCCGCCCATCACGGGAAGTCCCGCCCCCAGCATCCCGGGCTGGAGTGGGATTGCGGTGGTCCTGGGAGCTGGCTTGTCATCCAGCCAGGAAGACGCGAAACGCGCTGTCGCCCTCCGTCAGCTGCTTCGGCTGTGCCCTCGCACCTCGGGGCGGTGTCCGACGAGCGAGGAGCTGAAACGTTTTTCTCTGGGTGAAATGTTTTTCTCTTTCTTTTCGTTGCTTCAAAAAGACAGTTTCTGACAGCTTGGCGGGAGCACAGGAACATATAAAAATGTTGCCAGACAAGTATCAGGGAACTTAGAAAGCTTAGAAGAAACACGTTTGCCTTCCGGCTGTGAGTCTGTGTGTCTGTTTCCCAATTAAGACGCTCTGGGTTGAGTTTTCTAGGAAATTGACTCATTTCTTCCGAGAGGATTGCTGCGTTCCCGCGGTTTTCACAGGTGTCTCTACTTATTCTGTTGACGTCATAGGAAAAGCCAGCTTTCAAACAAACGTAAAGCACTGAGATCTTTACATATTATTTTATAATGAGAATGGAAATGGTTAACCCTTTGTGGTGAAGGAAAGAGGACTCATTTCCACAAGACGTAGGTCAGAGGCTTTCGCCGTTCCCTGTATCGTGTCTGTAATTCAAATACATGACTTGCATGTACGGTTGCTTGTCTCTCGGTTAGTCCACGCACTCTTCAGGGGCCGGGTCCCCTCCTCAGTCACGTTTGCGTTCCCACCCAGGATTCCGAATTTCCAGGGCACGGGAGGCGTGACATAAACATTCGCTGGATGACATTCCCTGAAGTGTAAAAAGCAGGCAATGGATTGGTCTATTAAAAATGACTTTAATGCTCTATCATCTTTAGCACAACTGAAAAATACCTAGAGGAACCCTTTTTGGTTTTTTGTTGTTGTTTTTTGTTGTTGTTGTTGTTGTTGTTGTTTTTATCTTCCTGTAGCTCCTTAAAGTGATAGGTGCTTGGCAAATGTTTTCAAGTTAAGGAAGCAGATTTTACCCAGAGTAATCCCCTGGCCAAATGCCTAGAAATCCTGAACCTGAACTAATAATCGTCAACAAAGGAGAGCTTGCATCTGAAATCATTGAAGGTTAAGAACGGTCAAGTACATATCACAAAGGCCATAAAATTATTCAAAGGGTACATGAAGTCCTTCCACATCTTTTATGATGCTTGGTTCAAATACAAGTAATGGTTAAAAATTACAGGAATTGTGAAATATTTAGCAGGTGCATGTTTAAAACTCAGAAACTTGGCAAAGGCATAGGAGGCAGTGTTTTACTACGTTAGGATTTGACACCCCAAATTTCAGCTCTGTTTAAAGCAAAGAAAGGAAGGGATACTGTGCTTTATAATTATCAAGTTTATTTGATAAGCAAACACTCAAGCTGTCTAAAGCTCAAGAATGATTTTGTTTTTCAGTTGAAATTGTTATGTGTAGTCTACCCAGACCAAAGTCTCCAGTTTTTTACTCCTTTCTGCGGTTTTATAAGAACCCTGTTATGCTGAAATTTGGCTAAAAATTACTATGATAAGTACAACCTAACATGCTGAGAACTCGAAGTCCCCACAAACATTTGGCCCCTTAAAAACTGGATAAATTATTAGAAATTGGGATGAGAGTAAACAGAACAAAAATGTGGAATGTAGGGTTTTAGCGATGTCTTCTTATCTGACCATAAGGGACAAAATGTGTGGCTCCAGTTTCTGAAAACTGTAATCTGAGATGTGACTTGAGAGTTGATTCACTGGAATTACCCTTTCAATTTTGGTCTGAGATTTCTCCTTCTGGCACGAAGCCGGGGTCATTGAGCAAGTCCTTTAGCCCCTTTGGGATTTAGTGCAATCTCTGGGGAGATCTCTCCTAGGCAGATTGCATTATGCAACCCCCACCTTAGGGTAACCTTAGGGATGGGAAGGTACAGAAATCCAAACCCCATATGGGGTCAGCTCTGTAAAATCAACACTTTCCGCAAGTTATGAAATGGTAAGACATTCCTGTGGTTAGTAAGCCCCAGCTGCACAAATCACTGGACGTGATCAAGGAAGGAAATGGGGTTCCACTGGCGAGCACCTTGGACTTGGGGCTCTGCAGACTGGGGGTGTGTCCCCCAGGTGTGGCTTGCCTCGCTAGGGAACTGAGGAATCTTGTTCTTCTCAGTTTCCTGCCCAGTAAAAATCACATGAAAAGAGCCTCTTGGGTTCACATTTAGACTTTCTAAGAAGACTACATGGAGAAAATGTTCCTCTCAGACAGTCTGTGCATGTGCCCTAATAAAACAGTATCAGTTCATACTTCGACTCTCCCTTAATCTGTTACTACACTCAACTGATATTTTTATGGTTGGAGTAATAACTTGCAGGTGCTGCTCATAACACAGTGACGCACTGAGAGGGGAGCCCAATAAGCATGCTTTGCTGCAAAGGAAGCTGGGGCTGGATGGAACTCGCTCCAGAGAAGTGGGGATGAGCTCCGTATCTGTGGTCAGGATCCCCGACTTGTCTGGTCAGCGTTAATCTGCTTTTACTTGTTTGTACTTGATGGCTGTGAACATGGAGACAGAGATTCCTTGGCGAGGAGAAGACCCACAAAGAGTGATAAAGGGTTATTCAACAAGTGAACGGATTCACTGATTTGAGCAAATAGACGATTTCTGTCCCTCCAACTTTTTTTGAAAAAAAATTCCAATGTACAGAAAATAAAATGTAAAAACAGTATCACCAGCTCACAAACATCCTTCAGCTCGACGCACCAGTTACTGACCGAGACACCTGAGATTCAGCCGCGGGCACCAATCAGTACTGCAGCACCTCGGCTTCAGCGGTTATCTCCTCGTCTGCCCAGAACGTATGTCATCACACCTGCGAAAATCACCGTCTTTTCACCAAGACCTGTCCCCAAAGCATCTATTCCAGCTTTTTCCCAGCGTAGGATCTGAGGGTTGCACATGGTGTTTGGTTTTTGCGTAACTTTTGTCTCTTAATCCTAAACTGTGTGAATATCCTGTCCCCCAGTAACCTTTCACCCAGAAGTTCTAACTCCCTTACTGATCCTTGTCTGAACCACATATTACATTAAAAAAATGGTTGTTTTAAAATTCTATCATTTCATCTGTTTTCAGTAGCTAGCATTGTCTCATAAAGAATCTCTCTCCCTCTGTCTCTCAACTCATGGATATATGGGGGGAAGGAGGTTATACTCTATTACAAATTTGCGTGGGGCCTCCTGCAAGCCAGCTCATGTGTGTGTTGTGTATCTGACATAATCTTATTAGTTTTTATAGGTTTGCTTTGTATTTTTTTAATTATTATTAGTTGTTTCAGGTGTATTTCTTATCTTTTTTTGTTTTTTGGTTTTTTGCTTTGTATTTTTTTTAAGACTTAATTTTTTTAAAGTGTCTTTAGGTTCACAGCAAAATTGAGAGGAAGGTACAGAGACCCCCATGTACCCCAATCCCCACACATGCAGTCTCCCCATTATCATCACCCCCCCAGTGGTACATTTATTAAAATAATGACCCTACACAGACACGTCATCATCCCGCAGAGCCCACAGTTTACACTGGGGTCACTCTTGGTGGTGGACATCCTGTGGGTTTGGACAGACGAATGACGACATGTCTCCACCATTATGGCATCACACAGAGTCGGCTCACTGCCCTAAACGTCCTCTGTGCCCCCCC